GGATTATACCAAAAGACACTGACAGTTGGAAAGAAAGGGGGCGGAGAAAGTGGAAAAGAATGAAGGCGGGCTGTCAGCCTTCTCAGATTGTATAGGACTAGACCATATCACTATTTGGCGCAAACATGCACTATTATTTAAGCAAAGGAAAGAAATGACTTCAATGATAATTCAGAGATCAGGGCTACCACTCAGTGTGGGAGCAAGGGGGTGGGCAGGACGAGAGCCGAGTTCCTCCTCAGTTTCCAAAGGCAGGTCACTCTTCCAAGCCACAAGGATGACACTGCATCAAAGCAAAGAGGATTTATTCTTCAGGCTTAAGATATAATGAAATTTGCCACAATAGGTTTTGGACTTGCTTAGGACCCATCAACCCTTTGTTTCCTATTTTTCATTTTTGGAATAGGAATGTCAATCCTATACCTGTCTCACTGCTGTGTTTGGGATGCACATAACTTGTCTGGTTTCAGAGGTTCACAGCTGGAGAAAGATAGGAATCATAAGCTGAAGTCTCACCCATAGCTGATTTAGATGATATTTACATGAGACTTTGTACTTTAATGTGAGAATGAATTTAGATTCTGGGGGCTGTTGGGGTGGAATGCGTATATTTTGCAGGTGATAAGAAAATGAATTTGGGGGAAAGGCTAAGGGCAGAATGCTATGGACAGAATATATTCACCCAAAATTCATATATTGAGAGCCTAACCCCCAATGAGGCTGTATTTAGAGACAGGGTCTTTAGAAGTGTTAAGATTACATGAGATAAGGGTGGAGCTCTAATCCAATAGGATTGGTGCCCTTATAAGAAGAAGAGGAACCGAAGTTACCTATCTCTCTGCCATATGAGGATACAGTGACAAGGCAGCCATCTGCAAGCTAGGAAGAGAGCCCTTATCAGAAACCAAATAATGCCAAACCATAATCTTGGACTTTCCAGCCTATAGAACTATGAGAAATAAATGTCTGTTGTTAAGCCACCAGTCTATGGTATTTGTTATGGCAGCCTGAGCTAATTATACTTTCTGTGCCTTGGTTTTCCCATCTGTGAAACAGGGATAATTATGCCTTCATCTTGGGCTTGTTGTAAGAATCAGTTAACACATGGAAAGCATAGAGAACAGAATACAGCATATAATAAGGACTATGTCTTTGTGAGCAACTGTTATAAAGAAGTCTTTGTGCTCAAGGTGCTTGGCTGTCTACCTTGCACAAAAGGTACCATTTGGCCTTAGCTGGGTATTTAGAAACCCTTGAAAACTCTCACTCCCATTGGCCAATTCTTACAACTCTTCTAGCTTAAGTCTGCTTTTCTATTAAGGTTAATTTCTCTGGTTCTCTGGGAAGGGTAACGGTCACTTATTTCTCAAAGCAATGAAAAAAAAAATATGGACTGAAAGATATTAGATGTAGGTCCCCAGAGGATGATGATGAGTTGGAAGCAAAGGCTGAAGCCCCTGAAGCCTATTTCTTGGAAACATGAAGTTAAGGAGAAAATAGAGTGGCATAAACTTGAGACAGGCAAGGCTATTTGAAAGGCTGTTAAACTCTGAACTCTTGCAAAATTTCTTTTTTTAAAAAAGAGATTCAAAAACTTTCAAGACTGCATTTATTTATCTCTAGAAGGTAACCCTGGGCCTTTTCATTTTTCATACTTGTGGAAGTCTGAAACAGAAGAAATTCCATTATAAATAGTTAAAAATAAGAAAAGTTTACAAAACAAATAAGGAAATATGCAAAAAATTAATTTCATTGGTAATCAAGATGTTTAAATTTAAAGATACCAACATGTTACCATTAAGACTCCATCTTTTAATAGCGCTCATGTTAAGAATAAGATGGAATTAGCTCTCTTCTTATACAGTCGGTGGCATTATAAAGTGGCACTATGTATCAAGTTATAGAATGACCTACCTGTGACTCAGCAGTTCTACTTCTGGGAATCTGTCCTGCAAAACAATACAAAATACAGAAAGGGCTAACACATCAGTTATTTGTCACGTTTATGAGAACAAAAAACTGAGAACATGGTGGCCAACAATAAGAAAATTGTCACACCTAATGGGTCATGTAAACATGCCAGTGATAGAAAAATCAAGAACAGGTACACAATGTTATGTACCCAATGATAATTTTTTATTTTTGTTGCAAAGGAAAAGAAACTGGAAGGATTTTAATGTATTTCCATCAGTGGTTTTACTAGCGTGGCAAGATCCTTTTGTCTCTGCTCAATTTTCTGAAGTCCTCAACATGAAGAAAAAACAAACCCATGACTGAAAAATAAAGGCGTTCAAGTCATGGTCAGGCATTTTGCATACTGAAACCCAGTAAGTATATCACTGCAGATGGTAAAACACTGCAATCAAATGCTCTAACTTAGCCTTAAACATTTATCTATTTTCTAATCCATCCTCCTTTACATTTCAAGAAGGTGGCTAAAAAGGACTTGACACTATCACCCCATCCTCCTAACCCCAACAATTCATTGACTTGCAGATATTGGGCAAGATGCTTCTGTTCCTTAGTTCCCTCACGTGTAAAATAGATGTAATTGTATAGCACAGGGTTGTTGTGAAAATTAAATGGGATAATATGTATACACTGCCAGGAACAGTCTCTGACACAAAATATGTATGAGTAACTTTTTTTTCTAATCTTGATGGAGTCTTTCCATTATACATGTGATCAAGCTTGTTTTCTTTTTATCGTTCAGACTTAGCTTTAGAAGTTTTATTTTTCAAATACATTTTAATTTTTTAGATATTTAGTATGTTTTATACTTGAGACAAATTCATATATATTTACTTGAAGGATTAAAGGATGACTATATCCTGCCTATAGTCTAGTGCATTTTAGAACGTTTGTTTTAGTTTGTTTTTAAGAGTTAGCTGGAAAATTTCAGAAATGCAATATTTAAGTATGAGAATAGGAAAACTTGCCGAGGTTTATAAATGTCTTTATTGTCACAGATCATTAAAAATTGGCTGTTGGTCTCATCTAAGCCAAAGAGTTTAAGGTCCAAGAAGATGGTAGTCTGAAGAATAGAAACCCAGTTTGCTGCTTAATGTCTTTAAGAAGGCAGGCACACTCCAATTGTTGGCAGTGTAGCTGCAGAATTTGCCATATTTTCCAATGTACATTCCTCCACCCACTGAGCCAGGCTTGGTGAGGAAGATGGGGGTAAATAGAAATCCTTGCTCACTCAGCTTTAGAGTTCAGTCCTGGTGCCTGCAGTAGTCTGAAAAGCAAGGCTCACCTTTCCAAGTCCCAGAGAACCACAAGCATAGGCACTATCACAGCACTAGCCCCTAAGTCCCCAAAGTTTAGAGAGCACAGTAAAATCCCAGAGCTATAAATGCAGTCACTGGAGCAGCATTCCTCTGAGCTACTGTGCCCTTAGTCCAGGGAGCAAAACCCAACACCTTACCAGGTGAGATATACTACCGTGGTCCAATAAGGAGTGGGGACAACTGGGACAAGCCAGGAAGCACCCACATCATTAAAAGGGAAACAACCCTGTAAAATACTGGGCTGACTAACCTCATCAGAATATGCCCCATAGGCTCTCATTGAACCCTGGGGCAGATGACTGTGAGACCCATCACTTACTGTGGTAGAATTTTTACAATTACATAGAGCCATGACCTGGGGGAAATGTGAGATGGAAGACAGAAGAAAGAGGCTTCGGGACATTCCCAAGGTGCTAATGAATTCATCCCAACTAGCCAGATCATCTCATTTCAGAGCTTAAACTGGGACAGGAAGAAATGTCCCCAGTGACTAATTTCACAGATTACCACAACTTGTAATAGGGGTGGTAGAAGTCACCCATCCACACAGACTTTCTTTCAAGAACACTTTCAAGGAATATTCCCGTGACATGCCAAAGTTTGGAAGTATACAATGGCAGCACGCTCAGACCCCTGTAGCAGACACTTTTGTCTCTCCATATGTCCCTTTCCAAAGGCCCTCAAACTCCAGCGCTCCTGGCATCTCACTCCAAAATTGAGGGTAGTCTTTGTCTAGAGACATGGTCTCTACAGTGTCACGGGCAACTCTGAACAAAATTTAGAGCCATACATGATATGAAATGCCTGAGCCATAACCACATGTGGCAAACAGAAGGAATAAACAATGGCAAGACAATGAACACCCTGCCATCCAGCAATGCCAACCCCAATATAGCAAAAACTTACACTTTGAAGCTCCAATTTTAAACAAGCCTCTCCTGGACCTTGAAATTAATTTTTCTCACTACCAACACCATATGCTGTGGCTTCACATGGCTCATGGCCCTCTCCATCCACATGATACTTGCCAATTCATTCCCTGAGTGAACCTGCTCTGGCCCCAGAAGTTAATCTCCATCCCTGTGATCAGCAGATTCTCATGTACTTCATTCAGGACTTTGCCTCCCAGGAATGTTGTTGATCTTGCACAGTCTGCTCTGACCCCATCTCCAAATCCCTCAAAATGCCCATCCCTGTCACCACCAGGATTTCACTCCCTGGGTCCTCATCAAGGGCAGGGAAAAGGGTGCCACTCCTGCAAACTGAAGCTGGAGAGGGCTTGCCTCGCAAATCTTAAGCTCTCCTGCATATGAGCATTTCTGTCCAATGAACCATATTAACTGTCACTGGATCTCCAGTCTGGTCAGGATCCTGAAACCCTATGGAGTCACCCCTTTCAGGAAAGCTGAGTTGAACCTTTTTATGAGGATCCTTTTGTAAAATAAGGGTCAGCCTGAGCATCACTTCCTTGGACCCTTTTTATCTTGAGCCCATCCTGGTTCCTGATTGTAAAATGCAGGCTTTTAATAAAGTTAATAAACGTGATATTGAATAATTGCTCAACTCATGTATAATTAAAGATCTTAGAGATAAATGTTCACAAAGAGAAAACTAGCCGTAAAGATGGCTGCACAGGTTGCTCGTTCCTCCTGCCCCGCGCCACTTCCAGGATGCAGAGAGATGCCCTCCACATTTCCGCTTTCTCTGCAGCATCTAGATTGCCAGATGCGACTGTGCGCCTCGCTGGGTGTTTTCCACAGCCCCTTCCTCCCTCGGCTGACAGGGCTGACATCACCGACTGCATTTCTGGCTGATCAGCTGACCGAAGAACAGATTGCTGAATTCAAAGAAGCTTTCTCCCTATTTGATAAAGATGGCGATGGCACCATCACAACAAAGGAACTTGGAACTGTCATGAGGTCACTGGGTCAGAACCCAACGGAAGCTGAGTTGCAGGATATGATCAACGAAGTGGATGCTGATGGTAATGGCACCATTGACTCCCCCGAATTTTTGACTATGATGGCTAGAAAAATGAAAGATACGGATAGTGAAGAAGAAATCCGTGAGGCATTCCGAGTCTTTGACAAGGATGGCAATGGGTACATCAGTGCAGCAGAACTACGTCACGTCATGACAAACTTAGGAGAAAAGCTAACAGATGAAGAAGTAGATGAAATGATCAGAGAAGCAGATATTGATGGAGATGGACAAGTCAACTATGAAGAATTCGTACAGATGATGACTGCAAAATGAAGACCTACTTTCAACTCCTTTTTCCCCCCTCTAGAAGAATCAAATTGAATCTTTTACTTACCTCTTGCAAAAAAAAGAAAAAAGAAAAAAGTTCATTTATTCATTCTGTTTCTATATAGCAAAACCGAATGTCAAAAGTACCTTCTGTCCACACACACAAAATCTGCATGTATTGGTTGGTGGTCCTGTCCCCTAAAGATCAAGCTACACATCAGTTTTACAATATAAATACTTGTACTACCTTAATGATAAGGACTCCTTAAAGCTCCATTTGCTAATGATTAATACACTGTTTGGGCTGGCCAGTTTTTCATGCATGCAGCTTGACGATTGAGCACAGTCAGGCATTTGTATTAAAAACGAAAAATGAAAAAACAAATCCAAAACCTATTCAAATGGGTTCTAATTCAATTTGTTTAGTATAAATTGTCATAGCTGGTTTACTGAAAACAAACACATTTAAAATTGGTTTACCTCAGGATGACGCGCAGAAAAATGGGTGAAGGATAAACCGTTCAGACATGGCCCCACTGGTAGGATGGTCCTCTTGTACTGCGTGTGCTCCGACCCATGGTGATGGTGACACACCCTGGTACCACACCCGTGTATGTTGGTTTAGTGTTGGCTGCATTGTTCCAGAGTGAAACAGGTATCAGGCTGTCACTGTTCACCCAAATTTTTAATAAGGAACTTACCAAGGGAGCATCTTTGGACTCTCTATTTTTAAAACCTCCTGAACCGTGACTTGGAGCCGGCAGAGTAGGCTGTGGCTGTAGACTTCAGCACAACCATCAACATCGTTGTTCAAAGTAATTACAATTTACGTCCATTCCAAGTTGTAAATGCTGGTCTTTTTTTTTTTTTTTTTTTTTCCCCCCAAAAAAAAAACAATAATTTAAGAAAGAAAAAAAAAAAAAAAAAAAAAAGATGGCTGCACAGTAGATACTTCAAAGAAAAAGTGAGTTCCCCTTCTCTCTCCTAAACAATTCAGTACTAATGTCATTAGCTAGGTCACAGTTAGGTAGTAAGAAGCCATAGTGACCCAAAGTGAGGTGGTATCAGAGCCCAAGTGGGGTGCGATGGCACCCACATACAGAGGCAGCCCAGCATAGGATATCAGAGACCCAGCAGATGAGTAGCATGTTCACACAGTGGAGGTGGTACAGTGCAAAAGTGGTAGAGCCCAATCAGGGTGGGAATAGCAGCCCCATGGAAGGGGTAGAGGCCTGGCCTGGGGACTCAGAGCCCAAGCTGGGTAAGAAGTCCATGGAAAGGGGCAGTTCAGCATGGAGTGGAGAAACCCGAGCTGAGTAGGCCAGGCACTTGTGTGTGCAGGTGATTTAGCCAGAGCAGAGAGAAGAGGAATCCACATTTCAAGGGACTTGTGTGGAATGTCAGAGCTAAGAAGGAGGTTTTTATGGAGGTACAGCTTGCCATGAGTGTTAAAGTTCAAGGGGGTGAGGAGAACAGCCATGTGGTGAGGGGATGGCAGCAGAGATGGGAGGTGGGTTATACACAGGGGACATCCTCATATACGTGGCTGATTCCAGGTCTGGGATAGAAAAGTACAAGATGAGCTTAGAACATCTTCTTCCAGAAAGAAAATGATCAAATAATGATGATGACATGTCAAACATAAGGGTTGCCAACTTAAGGAGTTTTCACTGGCCACAGTGGGGACAATGTGAGCAATAAATTATAGTATGTAATAATCCACTGAATAGACAATCATGAGCTCATACCAATATAAAAATGTCTATATAAAAACAACCAAAATGTTCTAAAATATTTAAGTGAACAGTTAAACTGTGGTACATCCACACCACAGATTACTCAGCATAAAGCAGAGGCAAAGACCATTAATATAACATGGATGATCTCAAGGGCATCATCTACGTAGAAAAAGATCATCTCTAAAAATCACATAATGTATGGTTTCATTTTTATAGCATTCTCAAGATAAATTATAGAGGTGGAGAACAGATTAGTGATGTCCAGGGGTTTGGAAGAATGGAGTGGCAGGAGCAGAGTACAGGTGTGACCATAAAGAGGCAGCACGGAGATCTCTGTGGTGATGGAACAGTTCTGTATCTGGATTGCAAAGGTGATTCCATGAATCTACACATGTGATAAAACAACATACAACTATGCATACATGGTACCAATGTCAATTTCCTGGTTTTGATATGATACTATAGTTATGGAAGATGCAACCATTGGGGAAAATTGGGCTAAGGATGCACAGCACTTCTCTGTACTATTTTTGCAACTTCCTGTGAATCTATAATTTTTTCCAAATTACAAATTTGATAAATATAGAATGTTTGATGATTAATGAGATATTTACATAGTTTCAAAACACCTCCTCACAAAATAAGAAAAGACTAACTTTAAAGTGAAAAAGCTTGGCAGTCCCACCATAAGCAAGTGATCAAAGTGAATATCGTTAGAAATAGAATAAATCAAATCTGCCCTCATGTAATAGGATGCAATGAGTGGAAAACAGCATCACTTTTGTTATTCCTGCCAAGGATGCATATCTGAATCTAATCAAAAGGAAACAGACAATGCAGATCAAGACACACACTGTAAAACAACTGGCCTGTAATCTCCAAACATGTCATGGTTATAAGTCACAGAAGCACCAAGAAACTCTTCTTCCAGACTGAAGGAGCCATGACAACTAAATGTAATTCATGATTCTCAGCTGGGTCCATTCGTTAGAAGAGATGTTATTGAGACTACTGGTGAAACTTGAATGGGACCTGACGATTGTATGGCAGTAATACAACAACATTAATTACCAGACTTAGTGATTGCATTGTGGCTATGCAAGGGAATGTCCCATTTGTAAGAAATGCACACTGAAGCCTTAGGGGTGATAGAACATCAGTTTGGCAACTGACCCTCAAATGGGTCAGAAAAAAAGTTCTTTGTACTGTACCTGCAACTCTTCTGTAAGTTGACTATTGTTTCAGACTAATTTTTTAAATTTTAAAAATGAATGGCCAGGCACAGTGGCTCACGTCTGTAATCCCACCACTTTGGGAGGCCAAGGTGGGAGGATCATAAGGTCAAGAGATCGGAAACATCCTGGCCAACATGGTGAAACCCCATCTCTACTAAAAATACAAATTTAGCCAAGCTGGTGGTGGGCACCTGTAGTCCCAGCTTCTTGGGAGGCTGAGGCAGGAGAATTGCTTGAACTCAGGATGTGGAGGTTGCAACGAGCCGAGATCATGCCACTGCACTCCAGCCTGACGACAGAGAAAAACTCTGTCAAAAAAAAAAAAAAAAAAAAAAAAGAGAATGATTTGAAAGTGAAAGGATGAAAAATCTTTGACAAAACTGTGGAAATCTTAGAATGCCTCTGCAAAAAATGTCCCTCTTTACAATCAGGCCTCAGAAGTCACATTTGACAGAAGTGACATGTACTGTCTACAAAAATCTTAAATGTGGAGACCTCCTTGGTTCATTCTACAAATTAGCACTCTTCCAATTAACAACAAACTTGGCTAAAAAAAAACTAAAAATTAAGTATTTTATTCCCTTTTTTGAAGAAAATTTCCAGTCAGAACATTTCTGGCTTTTACTCAGAAACATTAGATTCCACTCTAAATTAGTGTACTCTACGTGGCCTATGTCCAGGATCAATTATCCTTGCAAAACAAGGACCTCCCACAGTATGTACTTGCTAGTAGTACTGCCAAGCATAGGCCTGCTCTGCTACTGCAGAGGTTCCTGTCCCAGCCCAGGTCCAACAGGACTGGCAGGAAGGTGTAGCCAGGTGGCTCATCATCATGAGAATGATATGATGATACGTACTGGACAAGGATCAATGCGGATTCAGTGCAAATAAGATTTTCACCTTGATACTAGCTTAGATAGTCAGGTTCCAGGTCTAGCTCAGGTCATTTCTTATTTTTATTTTTGAGATGGTGTCTCTCTCTGTCACCCAGGCTGGAGTGCAGTGGCATGATCTCAGCTCACTGCCACCTCCCCTCCCAGGTTCAAGCCATTCTCCTGCCTCAGCCTCCTGAGTAGCTGGGACTACAGGCGCCCGCCACCACACCCAGTTTTTAGTAGCAATGGGGTTTCACCATGTTTCCCAGGCTGGTCTCAAACTTCCGATCTCAGGTGACCCACTGCCTCGGCCTCCCAAAGTGTTGGGATTAAGGCGTGAGCCACCGCGCCTGGCCCCATTCTTTTGTTGCTGTTGTTGTTCCTAGTCATTCCACATCAGCTCATGTAGTAGCAACAGGAATTCTGTCTTCTATGGGTTGACTGGCCAGGGAAATCTTACATGTCAAATGGTCAGAATATGAAAATCTAGACTGAGCATATGCGCAAATGAATCCTTAGAACACATTTATCAAACCAGAAATAGAAGCCAAGGCCGCCCCCAACCCCGGCTCTCCCCACCCCCCAGCCGGCGGAAAGCCTGGTAAACCTCAAATCAGAGCACAGCATTGGTGAGAGCCAAGTGGGAAAACTCAAAACACTGGCTACAGACAAAGCTGGGATGCCTGCAGCTTAGTATTGCTCATTAATCAATGTTGACTGCTCATGAGTCAAGAAAATTTGATATCTGTCCAAGTGACATGACAGGTACTATGCCAGATACTTTGCTGACAGTAAGTACAATTATTATACCCATTCCTCAGATGGGGAAACAGAGGATTAGAGGAGTTCAGTAGCTCATGCAAGGTTATACAGTCAGCAAGTGGTAAAACAAGGGTTTAAACCTCAGCAGTCTGTCTCCAGAACCTACTCTCAGCTGCTCCCCTAAACTGCCTTCCTCCAACTACCATTCATGACTCCGCAGCGCTCACTGTTCCTTATATCACACCATGCAACATGTTTGTTACAGCATGCTTGCATCACATTCCTATACATCTTTCTTATTTCAATAGTAATTGTGCTGCAGGGCAGGCTAGAGCAGGGGGCCTCATGTATGTCCACTAGTCCACAGCAAGAACAAAAAGTCCACTTCTGGACTTAGAGAAGCACGCTGCTACTTCCAGCTGTTTCTTTAGATGACAAGGTAATAAGAGACAATAAACACCTTTGTTATTTCACTTAAAATGTTGCCTTACAACCAGCACCGTCCCACTCCCCCACCCCACCACCACCAAAAAAATGTAACACCATGCATGCATCTTTACGTATATTAAGCTACTTACTTTTTCTGGCAACCATAGAGTCCAGAAAACCTTTTGGTGGGTAAAATAGGATTATTTAAAAGATACACTTAGGTCTGTATTGGGTGGTTCTGGAGGAATTTCCCCTTCCCAGGAGCTGCTTACCAGTTAATTTAGAAACAAAATAATCTCCCAAACTAGTAAATCCCACTGCCCCTCCCAGGGGCTTTCATAAAATTATCTTGTTTTCATCATGTTTTAGCATGGAAAAATGACCCATACCTCAAAGTATACATTTTAAGGTTTTTGATAGCTATTTAAGAAGAAATATTTTACCAGACTTCTGGTTGGGGACATGACTCCAGTTGTAGACAACATTCTTTGGCAACAAGAATGTGACGGCTCACCACTGCCACCATCTGCCCAAAGCTCTTCCTCTTCATTCTTCAAGCTGAAAGCACAGCCGATACCTTGGATGATGTTTCTTGATAGCTCTCTAGCGGAGGATATATGTGGTGCAGAAGTGCCGCTACCATAGCTCTGCTCATCTGGGTCTTGTTTCTGGAAACCATATTTAGTTGTCAAATGGTATAATACGACAGATTTTGATGACTTAAATCAATATATTTCAAAGTTTTATTGATGAGGTTTCATTTAAGTGATAAAGGCAATGCTTAAGTTATTATGGAGAGAA